ACACTGGAATAGGCAAGCAATGCTTATGTACACAGTCTGCGACAACATGAATATGATTCTCTCACCCGCATCTCTCGCTGTTCATTGCGTACTGTATTTGGCTACCCACCCACCGCAGATGTCCAGTGTAGTCTGTCTCGAAACAACCTCACACCCATCACTATCCGTCTCTCCCTTCAACTGTACCTTCTTGAATTCAGATACGTTCATTCTTCTGCTAGCTCACTTCTGTGCCGCCTTTTCTGCCTTCGTGCCAATTCTGAGGCACGTAGCCGCACCTGCACAAGGTCTCAAGTGTCGCTTGGACTTGTACTGCCACGAGCCTCCTCTCGATTTGGTATTCCTCTCTTTCTTTATTAGCCGCTGACCGCTGGAACTCAGTTCCGGCATCGGTCCGCCTTGCTGCTTCACCAAGTCAATTTCGTATCGCAATCCTAGATTGGCTAGGGTACCCCGTAAGGAGACCATAGGTCTGTGGGGACTGCCCTAGAGAAATATGAATAAATACTATACTATACTACTACGAGCTGTAAGTCTCAGCTGTGAAGGACGTTGGCGGATGTTCATGCATGTCGATGACGATACTGGCAAGACCATTGGACAAAACGGTCAAACCACGATTCAGGAACGCAAAGCAACATTCCACACAACATGGGTGGCTCAAAAGATGCGAAGATCAATAAAAGGGGAAGCTATGCGAACAAGACTGATCATGAAAAACCGAACGCCTCAGTAAAACAGCACTGTACTTCGATTATGACAATTTAGATGGACAATAAGCAGCGGTAACAAGCAGCAGTTTCACACGACGATCGTTTCGCCGTATAGATAAAGACGGCTCATCAGGTGTGCAGGAATGGACTCAGATGGAGAGCCAAGGTTTAATTAATTATACAAAAGAGAAAGACCAAGGAACTACAAGTTACGCTATACTGTCCAGCTCTAGCACATCTTGGATGCGCACTCCAACAGCCTTCCATGTTTTATGTAATGCATTGCAAATCCAAGGACAATCATCCCCAAACGGATAAAATCTAAGGTAACCTGGATAGGTGGAGTAAAGAAAACAGTGAGTATGGAGAACTCTCGGGATAGGGAACATCGTAGCATTAGCCATGAAAGTAAACTTTCAATAAACGCTTGAATCGGCATGTGGTAGGTAGGGCATGACTTTAAGGACGAGGGCAAAAGATTCCACAACTGAGCAGCAGCAAACACTGGTCTGTGAGATCCCGAAGTACTGCGGATGTTGGGAAGGGGAAGATTGCAGGCATCCTGACCTCTGGTGGCACGGGGCAGTGAACTGTATTCCAGGCGTGATTTGAGCAGCAAACTGACATTGCCGTGAAGACTTTCATCTCCTTCCAACCAGTGCCGCTTTTATGAACTTCTATCCCAGTCATCGTGCTAGTACTGCACACGCTCTCAAGTTTCTAAAGCCCTTACTCTTCCCGCTGCTTCAAATCGGTATGGTCTTTTTTCTCTTAGTTTTCTAGGCTCAGATCGTTGGAACTCTCTACCTGCTGACATTCGCCTTTGCACATCTGTTCCTCGCTTCCGTTACCTTGTATTGGCACATTTAGGGTACCCTGTAAGAAGGCCTTAGGCCTGTGGGGATTGCCCTATCAAAAAAATTTAACAATAATACTGCATACTGTAAAAGCAGAAATTTTCGGTGGTGTAATATTTTCGGTAGTCTCTAAAATCGGCGGTTCGGTAGGGGGAAATTTTCGGTAGAACCCGTTTTCCAGGTAGGTGTACTAGTATCGGTTGTACCGAAATTTTCGGTGCGTTTCATTTTAAAAATTGTCGGCACCGAAGTAAGTTAGTTACCGAAAATAAAACACCACCGAAAATTTCTGCTTTTACAGTACCTTTAGCTTTGCCCCGTACAGGAGGGGCTTGTCTTGCCAGGTCAGAGTATGAAGCACCAGAATCACTCCCGGATCCCTAAAACTGCTCCGTGGCACCCTCACCCCTGGCCTCGCTGCACGTCCCCTACCCCTTGCAATAAAATTGATGCTCTGTCTGACTTTGCCCGTCCACACACTCCGTCATGTATTCTTCTCTGCGTATTTGTGCACCTATGAACTCTTTGTGTTCCCTAGCTTGGTTGACGCTGAAAAAAAACTCGCTCATCATACTAAAATTTATGATGCAATAGCAATTTGTTCTTCGCTGCTACCCCCAATTGGCCAACCACACGCTGATG